CACGTGATGGTATGGTTCTTCGTTATATTCTCTCTTGAATGAAGTCGAAATGATGTTTTTGAATGGAAGTTTAAGGACGTTATTGCATTAATTAACTTCTGGTGGAACGGTATAATTTAAGACTTGAAAACTTTTTGCTAATTTCGATGAAGCTGGCGAAAAATCAGTGTAATTTAGAAAGGGTTTGGTTGAAGAAAACCATGATGAAATCCGAAAATAATGAAGATTAAAAGAAAACAAATTCAAGTACATATGAAATAAATCATTGCTGCTGATGACTTGAAATAAATTGGTCATAGATATGACATTGTACCGGAATTTAAATATTTAAAAATTAGATATTTGAATTTGTTTTTCTAGGTCCAAATATTGTTCGCCAGCAGGCTTAAATCAATATCATTATAAATTGGAATAGAAATCTCTCATAAGCTGTATGACCGTATTGATTTGTGGTATTGGAATATTTTAAATTTCACTCCATTTCAGTAGCAGATGAAATTCAAATTTTCCATTTATAACAATCGATTAAAGATTTCAAGCATTCACTTTTGTCAATTATAATTTCAACAGATAAAATTGAACGGTTTGGTTGGTTACATATTCGCTTCCTTAATAAAATTATTCAAAAAAAGAATTTTGAAAAGCTTCCATTGCAATGGAAGGTGAAATGTTCGTTAATTTTACATAAATTATTTATTTTAAAATAATTATTTCATTTCTAGTTGTGAAGTTTCGACAAGGGAATTCACCTCCTTATTAATTTAACTATCTAATTCTCATTTCTTCCTCTACTTCTTCTTTAGTTCCATTATTATTCATAGTGAATACTTTCTGGAATTTTCCATACTGGATTTTTCCTGGAATTTCCCATATTGAATTTTTCCTGGGATTTTCCATTGTGGATATTTTCTGAAATTTTTCCATTGTGAATACTTTATGGAAGTTTCTATGGCGGATATTTTCCGTAACTTTTCATTGTGGATATTTTCTGGAATTGGAACTTTCCATTACGGTTATTTTCAGTAACTCATACAGTACCAATAAGAATGACACATCGTTGTTCTTTTTGCAGTAACTCATACAATACCGATAAGAATGATAAATCAATAAATGAACGGATATTTGGTGTTGATAATAGTGGAAGTAATAGGAGTAATTTAATGAATTGGATAGTACCATCAACTAGTGTCAATCAACGAATGCGACGTATTGAGGAAATTTTAGATTCAATACCATATTTCTTTGGTAGTATGCTTGATGATAATAAATTACAAAGACGATTACTTCTTGAATTAGGTAATTTCTTCTTC